AGCAGGAAATTGGGTCACATAGTTCCTGTTAGACTCCCTGGCTGGGGACCCCCGGATGATCGTAACCAATGATTAGAGACACTGAGCGATATGGCTGGGTATCGTAAACAGTGGCGTTCGTGCATCTCCTCGATTTGTTTGTAACCTTAGACCACTGAACGTCTCCATTTTCTTTTCGAATGCACTTTCAACTCTTTCTTCTCCTATTCTTCATCCAAATGGGCAACCAAAAGACAGCAACCAAAACCGCGCACGAAAGTGCATGGCTAATGGTTGTTCAAACTGAAACTGAAACTCCGGAGCTTTCCTCGGAAGTAATTCTTTCTTCAACTTTTACCCGCCCATCTCGTACACAGCTATCTAGTCATCCTCATCAGATTTCAGTTCCTAGATGTTGTACTCCTCTGCTCGAATCTTCATCCTCATGGATCTTATGCGTCCACTGCGCACACACATTTAATTTCCTATCGTTCCGATCTGTCAACTAGATCCCAATGTCGTTGTGCTTCCTCTCGAATGAACATATATCATAACTCTACGATACCCTCTTGGGTACGTGTTCTGATGAATAGAGAGCATGATAAACTGCAGACTTCCCGTCGACTTTTTGAGACTAAACTCATTTTCTTTGCTACTTACGGTTTTGATTGAAATGTGAACATTTCGTTGACAAAAGTCCTTAATACAACCACAGCTACATCATATTTTTCGCAACCTCACTTCGCTACTTTTTTCTCAGTCCGGGACACCTCGTGCCGCTCCGGGGATCACTTTGGCCCTAACACGCAATGTTCATGTACACGTGCACGCCACGGAATTGACTTGTTGTCTGGCCAAATCTGCTTGGTGTTTTGCTTCGTTCGGTTTCCAATCGTTCGGTCAACCGGAGATCGTGTTCCTGGTCCGACGTCGTCCGGACGAGCAGCTACCCCCGTTGCGTATTTATCGATTCTATCAGCAATTGTATTTGGCTGTGAGTCAGTCTCACTCGGACGACCAGACAATTGCACCGGGCATGATTTCTCTCAGTGAGCGATTTTTCCCTGTTGTGTTAGTTTTGCTAATTTTACACTTTTCCCATCCTCGGGGATACACGCGTGTATTTTGCAATAGGCAATTCATATGAATGACTCTATAAAAACGTGACTTTAGTGTTCATGAATATACAGAACACCTCCAACGAGTTGATTAATGTATATGTATTTATTGACTTTCAAGGTCGACGAGCCTCACCCGGTGCCATGTTTTACTATTCGTCGGATTTGGCTTGGGTCGCGATAACTGATCAGCAAAGCATTCAAACCGTCCCTGAGGTTCAACAACTTCAATTCCCCCTGGTACCTTATACCACGGAGCAGAGATTCCACCTCATGTTTGCTGAGCGTTACGCATGCCACGGTTGTAACACCCGTTTTAGGCAGTTGAGTTATGTATTAGTTATAGTTTAGTGATTGGTGAACATTCTGATCGCCATCCTATCACGTTTTCTGCACAAAATCGGCGCAAAACGT